CCTTTGGGTTGCCCAAAGACATCGTGCCATCTCCATCACTGGAGCTTTTCAAGATCAGGCTGGATAACAACCTGAGCAACCTGGTCTAACCTTGTAGCTGACTCTGCTTTGAGCATGACCTTGGACTAAAGACCTCCTGAGATCCCTGCCATTCTGAATTATTCTATGATTGTGCAATCCCAATATAGTATCACAATTCTGTGCTATTTTAAAGCTGGGATAGTAATAGCAAAATCTTCTTAATTGTTCTGAATATTTAAATGATTTGGCTGTGCATTGCTCTTGCTTTTGGAACCCAGAAATGCTACATATGCTCTGTATGTTCTCCAAACAGCTTGTATTTGTGCTTATTTGCTGGTATGACGTGCTAACTGTGCAAAAAATTTTGGACCCTTGCCTTAGAATATAGATACCTGCCAACTGAAAATGAAGGCTATATAGTGCTGCAAATGCTTTCTCTGTCTATGGAAAGTGCCTCTTGTGTGCCAGAAAGAAGCGTTTATACCACATGCTTTTTTACTGCTTCGCACATCTGGTAACATTTACATATGTCAGAAAACAATACCTGAACAGTAAAGGGAAGGGATACATGAAGTTCAAGGGCGTCGCATCAAGAAAAAGGACATGTTATATTGTACTGGTACATTGGAAAAAAAAAAGATTTCTTGGACTTGTCAAATATTTCCAATATGTGGGTATGGTCTGTGTATACTATCTATGAATACCTGAATTGGACGACCCAAATTGCTAGTAAATTGAACTGAACCCAGGAAGGGGTGAAGGAGCAGCAGTTAGGAAGTGAAAGAATTACAACTTTCTTGGTACCTACAAAAAGAATAAAATTTTATTTCATTTAAGGCAGGATTTATATCAAAATCTTCAAAGTTAGGTTCCTAAACATGGAATTACCTACTTATATTGAAATATTTTGCGTTTTCAGTAATCTTCTCTTTAGCTGCCTTTTTGTTAGCACAAAAGGAGTAGGTTGACTGACAAATGTTGCTGTATATCCTCAGTCCTCAGAGGCAGCCACTGTATTAGACTGTGTTTCCAAGAATATTTCTTTGAAGTCGTATTGTGAGAATCTTGAGACACAGTGTAGTGCTGGATTTCGTATGACGTGGCAGTTCTTATGGATGTTACCACTGGCAAGTGATTTAAAATAACAATGAATTAGACCGATCCTTATTCTCCCGAACTCAGAAGGAAAAAAAAAAAAAATCAGCATTTGATACTTTTATAAAAATTGCTATTTGCATTGGTTGCATTTGTACCAGTAATTCTTTCGACATCTCTTTGGGTACTTTCAGCCAGTGTCCTGTAGTAGGCTGTTCCTTGATACCTAACCCTGATTTTCCAAAATGCACTTGCAATAAAGAGCGCAGTTCCGCCTTACTACTATTGTCACTGCTTAATACTGAGCTCTGCATGGAAAGTGACAGAAAAATACCTATTTTCCTAAGTTTTCTGAGCCTAGGAAGAAGTGTTGGCTAAAAGAAATAAATAACCTTGAACTGAGTCCTACCTAACATAGTCATAGTAAAGGCAAAGATCTATTTTTCCTTTTTGCTATATTTCTACTACATGATGTATCTCCAAAACATTATTTTTGTGATGAAGTTCTTCTCTTACAAACTGATAAATCTTATGCTGAAATTATTACAAAAGTTTGAGTTCCACACTCACTACGCTGAAAAAGCCTTCCACTAGGTCTGTGAAGATGCAGTGAATAATCACATAAGGCATATAGTTTCCTTGCCCCCAAATTTGAAACTTATGGCTTTACCAAAACCACCGTATGAACAGTATGTGCATACATATTTTTGGTTTTGAGTCAGGGATATGAAGGATCTATACCAGTTTTCCTCTGTAAGTTATACAAGAAAGTTGTGAGGCACCCAAAGAAACACTTTAAGCTGATGCGAAATCAGCTGGTGGAAAATAGCAAGGATAGTAGATCTTCATCCAGCAATATTTCTTAAGGAAAAAAAAAAAAAAAGTTAAGCATCTGATAAGACTTGCATTCTGGCCTTTGTGCTTTGTAGAGCAGCTGTGTCACTACACAGAGACGTGCTACTCGGCCCTCCTGCCAGCTGAAGTCGGCAGTGAAACTTCCACTGACTTCTCTGGTTGCTGCCCCTGGCCCAACATTTGCATGACATAATGTATAAGAATATAAAGCTTTCTCACATGATTTCTTCTTGTATCATTTTAACTCTGGCGTATCCCTTCAGGAGTGCTCACACTTCAAGAATTCTTATCTAGCTATTTGTAATAGACATCTGATTGCATTAATAGAAATTATAGGAAGAATTGCTAGGAAAAAATCTCATTGATGCTTAATTTACATAATACTCTTTTGGACATAATTCAGGCCCATCGCAGGCACCTTTACAACTTACATGTAGAGGTCAAAGGGTGAAAGGTGACTGGCAAGATGCTTGTTTTGTACATTTGGCTAACACAAATACTTCCTCAAGTATAAAATGCTTTGATCTCTATAAGCGAATGCCATATGTGTGCAGCTGTGGCCCATGCCTCACGATTGCTGGAAGGTTAGAAAAAGGTAGCATACGAATTTGATGTCTGCATTCAATTTATGCTTTTATATTTAGCAGTTCATAATTTTGTGTAATATTTTAGCTGTATGAAAAATACGCAGCAGAGTTGAGTGATAACAGATTTCTCTGTGGTTTGACTCAACATTGTTTGGGTGAACACAGAATCCGAAGTATTTCAGACTGAAAATACAGGTTTTAATTAGAGCTGTCTGAGCTTCAAAATACCTGAATGCACATTAAGCTTGGCAGATTTTCAGAAATCTGAGAATTGCGTGGAGCTGATTTAAGCTAAGCAAGTGTCTTCTGTTTTCCTGCATATATTGCAGTTGCAGTTGCATCAGTGACTTGCAACACACTGAGGAAGTGAGATCCAAAACCATTATTAATGGTTTTCTGATATGTAAAAATGTTTGATCATGAAGGTCTGCCTTATGTCATACGTGTGTTGAACAGTACCTTACTCCAAGAGAATTTCCACTGAAAAAAATTGAGTGACTTACAGAGTAAAGGATGTACTCCACGTGACTGAAAAGCTGAATCAGCTCCAAAAGTTCGGTGCCTTTTCTGAGCTTTTGTTTCTTACTTTTATATGCAAATGTTTAAGAATGATATGTCCAGATCTATATCCCTCAAGCAGTTTAACAAGAGTGGTTTGCTGTGACTATAAAGAAACCTGCTGCAGTCAATGAGACACAAGGGTCCGTTTATGTGGATCCAGTTTCATGATCAAGGCCAAAAAAAAAAAAAGTATGGCTTTGTTCATTAAAAATCTTGAGCATGTACAGATATACTAGTGTACCTGGGGGGAAACCATGATTTCAATTAAAGCATATGCAATTTCTACTTAACAAGAAAAGAATCTAAGTCACAACCAAGAGACAGGCATGCTACAATAAAGAGAAAATCAGACAAAAATATCAAATTACAGGTACAAATATGATAAAATATAAAGCATTGTGCTCTATGTGTATGTTGATACATATAGCTATACAAAAGTATATTATATAGGTATACATACATACACATACGGTGTTGTTAATATGATTTTTAGTATTTTATTTATTATGTGTGTGAGTAAATTCATGCAATTGTTCTAGATATGATTTGAATATTATTTAAATAGTAGCATACTTACTTGTTTTTCTCATGCTGTTTCTCTTTTGTATTTTTGCTAGCTCCTACTGGCTATGGTAGGCTCCACAGATGAAACTCTGCAGGAGGCAGCAGCTGGTTGCATAGCAAACATTCGCAGATTGGCTCTAGCAACAGAAAAGGCAAAGTATGGCTGATGCTTTAGCAGCTTTTACCAACACACTTGTTTCGCAATACGGCTACATTTAACTATGTGGTTACTCCTTCTAGCATCTGTATTTCGTAGCAGAGCTCATTTATATGAGGGTAATTTAATAACAAAAAATAAATCTGTGGAAAATTATGTTTGTTTTTACATTACTGGTTTGTCACATCTAGGTTTCATAAAATGCACACACCTAGTTTTGTGTGTCTTTTAGTATTACATCTTTCAAAAGACTATCAGTTAAGATATGTCAAAGGCTTTTTCTACAACTAATACACTTGTATTTGAAATTCATTGTAGATATAAATGGTTTTGCATATCTGTGACATTGCAGTAAATTTTCCTTCATTGTGTGTGTGGCTCTGCAGTGATTTATGAATGTCTTGAACAATTCCCTTGGTGCTAAACTTGTCCAATCATCCTGTCATTATGTTTTTGCCTGTTTGATCACTTGCAATTCACAGGAGAGGACAAAATACAGATACATCAATCTCACATCTGGTGTTATATAAGGACTGCAAACAGCTGTAGCAGTAGACATCACTCCAAATTTCCTGTTTCTACCAACATCAAACAAAATAGTGCTTAATTTTATAAGTAGCTGGTGAAATGTGTTTTAATTAACATGTGTTTAACTCAAATTTAAATTTACCAGCTGTAAATAAAAAGTGGAGAATTACACGTACGTTTATACATTATCTCATTGTGGTTTTTTGTTTTTAAACTGACAACATTGTATTGATGTAGTTACTTTATTTTTATGCATAAAAATATATTCAGAATTAGAGTTGCTTTCAATAACCACATAAACAATGATTTATATTATAGATTACAGACCCACTGTACGTACTGTGCTCAACAAATAATACTAAAGCATTTCCTTGAGAGCAGTAATGTCTTAATTACAAGCACAGACTGCTGACAAAACTGAAAAAACCCAAATATTTAAATAACTTGCATTTGTCAAGTGTTTGCCTCTGAATGATTTTTTTTACTGCCCTTAACAATGATAAATTTTCTTGCTTTGGAAGCAGTCTGTAATTTGATTATTTTTCTTCTAACTAGCATGGCTACTCAAGGCAACTAATTTTACTGCTAACAGAAGCTTCTAAGGAAGACATAATACAAATCCAACTTTTAATTTGTCTTTTCTCTGAAGCAGACATGAAAGCTCATTTAAAATTTCATTTTAGAATGATGCAATTCTGAAAAAGGAGGGTTGCATAGGGCCCTTAGGGAAGGTGTAGAGAGTATTTTAAAGGAAACAAACTACAGACAGGTGCTGACAGTGTGGAAATCAAAATATTAATCCAAGTAGTATTTTTTGATCAATGCAAACACCAACGTAGTCATGGAGTTGTTCCATCAGCAACCAGTGACCAAGCAAATACTATTTTAGGTATTTTCTAGCTCTCCCACATAGGATTGGTATGTTATTTTGAGTAAATATGTCCATATTATTATACTGATGTCACAGCTGTAGTAGTATCATATGCTTCATCACTATACCCAAAAATGTTTCTAAAATAAATGCTAATTGCCAAATTCATTTGGAAGAGGAGAGGCTTGATTTTATTTTTGTCTTTTCTGTGAGAGAAGCTGTAGATACAAATAGTTTAGCACAATCTGTGAATCTGTGAATCTTGCTTATGAAAAATACGTAAAATGGTGGCTTATTTTTCCAACTATTGAGGGGAAAAAAACTCCCTGACAATAACTGTTGTCCTTAACATGACCTCTCAAGGCACTCTTGACCACTTAGCATGGATTTCAAATGGAGTAAGTTCTAAAGTAAACTTAATTTTACGATACAGGTGTCGGGGCAATAAACATCATGTTCCTGCAATGCAATGGCCTCAGCTTGCCACTCTCGCTCACACTGGTGGCCCTCATGCCTCAGAGGGTTCATCTGAAGTCTTTGTTTTAAGACCTCTGACAGTTAATTGCAGACTTATTTGTGCTGTTTTCTTTTCCTTTACAATGCCTGCAGTTTTTAAGTTCTGTACAAGGAGAAGAAATGCTGAAATCGACACAGATCACCACACAGGCAAAGGTTCAGTATTAAAAAATTACATCTTTTTGGCCAAAACTGGTGGATTCCACATAGTTAATACAAAGAGATTTCATTGTTGGAAAACGAATGAATGAATGTGATCCCTGGCCTCTCTGAGCAGTGCAGGACAGCGTGTACATTTGAAAAGCTTCCACTTTCTCCACAGAGCTGTGCTGGGTTTCGCAGCACTGCAGCTCTCTGAAAAGGGATCCTCACAAAGCTCGGTCCTGCTTGCTGCTCGCACACCCCTCCTGGCAGTGCCCGCCAGCCTATTCAAGCCCTGGCACCGACTCGAGCAGCCGCAGCCGCCCGGGCCCGGCATTCCCACCACCGCGTATCACCGGGCACCAGCCAGCCCCCGCGCCCCGGCTCCTGTGCCTGGAAGGGAAATGCCTTCGCTCCTTTCTCTTTCCACCAGCTGCTACTTGTCCGCATAAACCTGTAGCCTCTTAGGAAATACGGTTATACTGAGCACTGGAGCTCAGTGTTATATTTGGTGCAGAGCAACTTGATGTACAAATTCAATGTAGAGTCTTATTTTAGTGTCAAAAGTGAAGTGACTTAAAAAGGGGGATCGACCTCTGTCCTCTGTTTGCCATCACCTGCTCAGTCTGCTCCCTCCTTGTTTTCTCTATGCGATTCCTGTATTTTCACAGTCTTGTAATAGGGGTGGGTTTTTCCAGTTTATTTCCATCAATGTTACCATCAGCAGAAAGTATCCATCACTTTTCACAGTTGTGGGAGCCAGGTCCCAGCTCTGCCTGGAGCGCTGTGCTCCAGCTTACAGTCGTAAAGCCAGACCTGCTCTTCACCAGCTGCTCATTTTCAGCTTCGTTCCTCATTTTCATTAAAATGTCAGAAAATGTAGAGGCCAAGTAAGAAAAGTTGTCACGGGAAAGTGTTGTTTTGAGTATGGAAATACTATAGTTGATGAGAAAAAAAGCAAGAGAAGAAATCTTTCACCTTTATGCAATTATTTCTGGAACCTTAAAGGCCCACCACATCTTTCAGTCTACTCGTCTGTCAGCAGCAAGATAGCTTTTCTTCTACCACTCCATGACTTTATGATTTATTGCTTGGTGACAGATAACCATTATCAATAATTTAATTGTCCCAAACTGCACATTTGAATTTGGGATTTATGTTCATTTCCTCTTAATGTTCATGCTAATGACAAGTGCATGTGTTCTGACACACAATATTGTCTCCAAGTTGTTAGGGAAATATAAACTTCACGGCCTGGGTGCAATGGATCTGCGATATATTAGGGGCTTTGTTATTCTGTTCCGCCACTGAAACTTTTCTTTGGCGAGTAAACGAGCTTGAGATTCACAGTGCTGTCTTGAGAATTGACTCACTAATTTGCTTTAGGCTAACTGATCGCTTTGTGTGAAAGTGTGGTACCTCTTTCATTCCACGTGTCCTAAAATGAGTTGAATGAGCTGCTGACGCCAGGGGTCAGATATGAATTGTCCCAGGAGGCTGAACTAGATAATATGTTAGTTTAAGAATTTCATCTCATAATAAATTAAATGGTTGTTCCTTGCACATTTCCACCAAAATAATCTTTGTTTTACACATGACAGCAGGACGACTGTAATGGAAGTGTGTAACATGTTTCTTCAGCAGTGGTATTCAAGTTTCCATGCGGGCTGTTGTCATAACCCGACTACTTTGAGGCGTTCTGCGTTGGTAAAGGTTCAGACTGCCGAGGAGATAAATCCAGGCTGCCTTCTAGCGAGGTGATCACTAGCTCGGTGCAATACCCAGATTCCTCCTCAACCGTCCTACCTCTGCCCAACTTTCCAAAGTCGGTATATATACAATACCAAACCAACGTCCACACAACAAACAATGTTTGAAAGTAGGAGGTAAAAGAATAGTACCCCCTGGGCTCCAGCAGGTAAGGAATTAAACCAATCAAACGTCAGGATTGACAATAAAGAGATGTTTATGAAGCATCTAAATATTTGCTAATAGTTGCTATGTTGGATCTAACCTTATCCAGATATTTGCGGATAAAAGTATATAAAATCTTAGTGGAAATAAGAACAATAATAACAGAAATAATTCTCACGATTGCAACTAAGGCAGCTGACGGTGTCATGCGGTCTAGCATCCCTGACCAGGAGGATGTGATCGCGCTAGTGAGATCCTCAGCTCACTCTGCTCTAAGGCCACATTTTATAGAGTTGCTATACCTACACGCAATTACTTGTGACTTATGATCCAAAATCAGACCACAGGTTGAGACTTGCAGCTCGTGCTCCAGGATCAAATCATAAACCACATGTAAGGTGCTTCTTCTGCTTTTTCGCTGATCACTTCTTGCGCCGCTGCGTACCCGTGTGCATCCTGTTGGCGCACATCACGTACCAGGAGTTCTAAGAAAAGAGGAGAGGGGGGTCGGTCACCACAGCTGTTTGGTGACTGACAGTTCTCTGACCAGTCAGAAGCTAACTGCTCCCCCACTGATAGTTGTGGTTTCTCTGTTCTCTAGCCACTTAAGCTTTGCCACACACTGCTCAGGATCCAGAACAGAAGGAAGTAATGCTGCATCTTCGCCACTTCTCAATTCAGACAACCTAATTGCTACTGTTGGGTGACCAGCACGTGTCAGGACCAGCATGTCTGCAGCTGCAGCCATTGCAGTGGGAAGTTACGTTGCACCATTTCTGAAGGAATTAGTTTTACCAATTATTGTTCCCTCCCCTGCTTAAACAGAGATTCCTGAATGCTCAGTATTTTGCTGCTTTGGCTATTGCAGCCAGTCAAAAGTCATACATTCTCATGAATCTTTTCCTTGAGTACAACTTTACATTGTAAAATGTCCTTTTCGTCCTGTTGCCTAGTTATCAGTTCAGTAATACTCAGGCCTTGCTGGGAAGGGTTTCCATGGGCAGCATCACCATGGCTTGTGTTTATCCTCTCGACTTGTT